AGGGATACGTTTGTGTGTTATGTGGCTCCTGATCCACCCAAACAAGAAGAATTGCCATCCGTGTGCAGGTAAGCATGGCACTAGTCTAAGAAGACCTTTACTTTTTCCATATCTGCTTTAATTGATCATCATGCATCTAAATAGAAGATGCTACCAATTTAACTCTCATATAATATGAGGGGTGATCTCTTGGATATGAGGGATGTTAATTATTCTATCTATTTAGTGGAAAACTCATGAATTTTCTACTCGGGGAGGGAAAATACAACTTGTTGTCTACCTTGGTCTTCTTAGGCATTTCATCGAGCACATTGCCCACAATATTGAGATGATGTTTACTTATTAGGAATGAAGTTATGAATCACGAAAGTTATGAATATGGGAGAATGTAGCACAACCCAAGTTTTCTCATTAAAAAAAAATACAAAATTATACAAAATTTTACCTGCAGGGCTAATTATGTGCATTTGTAGTCTTTTACAAAGGCATGCTTTCATAACTTGATAAATGAAATTCATGAGCACTCTTGATGACTTGGGGATGCCGAGAAATAGTGAATGAGTACTCAAAGCAAGTGATGGATTTGGGGTCCACTTTGTTTGAGCTGCTTTCCGAGGCTCTTGGGCTTAACCCAAAACAACTTGAGGACATGAATTGCGGTGAGGCGTTTCTCCATCTGGGCCACTACTACCCTGAACCAGAATTGACCATGGGCTCCTTCATCACCACCATACTTTACAAGACCAAGTGGGCGGTCTCCAAGTGTTACATGAGAATCAATGGGTTAATGTTCCTCCCAAGCAAGGATCTCTAGTTGTCAACATTGGAGACCTTATGCAGGTGTGTTTTTTTAAAATATTTTTATACAACTTACAAGCGATATTGGGGAGGGGGAAATCAAGCCTAGAACCTCGAGTGTATAAATAAATACTCTTAACTACTTGAACTACACTACACTTAACGTCTTTTAATAAACTTAAAATCTTCTGTTGCTTTTGTGCAGCTAATCACAAATGACAAGTTTATTAGTGTGGATCATAGAGTTATAGCAAAGAATGTAGGTCCAACTTGGCAGCTGATCACTTGGCCAAGCTTTCTTCCTCGAGGATGCGCTCCTTTGTCTGGGTTGACCGACCCCCATCCTCTCTGACCGGCATTCTAAACAAGGATGGCCTACCATGCCCACCGCCACAAAATGGTTAGACTGATGCTGGTTGGTTTGTGACGTCTTTAGGCTTTTTGAAGCAGCGTCTCTTTCTTTCCAATCTGTATCCACAAGCTATGTTCTCTTTGATGTTTCATTTGCTTGTAGTCCCCTGTCATTGGACTCCTGCCTGTTTGTATTTGGTGCTTTTCTTGCACTCTGGTTTTATTCAAGTACCAGTTTGTCCAAAAAAAAAAAAAAAAAAACGAGTTTCTGTGGCAAGTTTTTTCAGGCCATACGTTCTGACAGGGAATTCAAAAGTTTACGGACCAATCAAGGAATTGCTATTAGAAGCTGTTCCCCAAATTTACCGAGAAACTGATGTTAGAGATTATATGAAGCATTACCTCTCTGGATGTGGCAAGTAATAATACCATTACAATCTTCTGAAAGCTGAAATGTAAAAAATATATGATTTGCAGGTTGAAATACAAGTCATAATGACCTTTTATAGGTAATAACATAATTATAAATTTTTTTAACTAAGCATTTCATTTTAAATGGATAAAACAATAATGTTATGCAACCAACAATAGATGTGAGTTAGGTCAGTTGGTTAAGGCAGCGTGCACATTCTCTTGCACCTGAATTTGATTCCTCTCCTTGTACATTAGAGTAATTTAGAATATCGTCTTGTAAAAAAGAAAAAACAGAAGAAGTTATGCAACTAATATGATTAAAAATTCATCGCCATTTTCTCTACCTAATAAAAAGAATCTGTTGGCAGGCTGCACGCACAATAGAAGGGTCCAAGAGACTAACGACAGACCAAATAACTGGGAAATAATTTTCGTGGAACTTATTGTAAAGTTGGTTGAAAGAGAAAATTCATCTCTGACAATAACTTCTTGTCAGTTTTTCTTATAGTCCAATATCTAAGCTAGTTGGTTGAAAGAGAAAATTCATCTCTGACAATAACTTCTTGTCAGTTTTTCTTATAGTCCAATATCTAAGCTTGTGCATTTAATTTGAAGGAAAAGTCTTCAAGTTTGAGTACTGCTGGATAGCAAACTGATGCTGGCACCTTCTAATTGAATGGTCAAAGTTCCTGGTCACTGGCTGAAATTGCAATTGCCAGATTTTATAAGTGAATAATTTTATAAGATTGTTTGAAAATAAATTGCTGGGGAAAAGATTTCTTGGCACCAGGTATTGATATTTGGTTGCTGGTTTTGTTTGGTCGATATTATTATTATAACCAATAATTCTTCGAATGCGTGTATTTATCTCATGCATATCGTATCCAACACCGTATGCGATATAGGATACGGACCTAAATCGGATTGGGACTAAAGTATAAACAATTTGCAGAAGTCGGCTCTTTCATTTAGTCCTCAATCAGAAAAGGTTTTAGTTGGATAAGGCTATGTTTTTATGCTTGGATTGTTTAAGGGGTTGTCCTATCTTCTTCTTGAAAACATGGTATTGGTGCTGTAATTCGTGATCATCATGGTTGACATTTCAAATTACTCTATTTTTAGGACATTCTTCTCACCATTATTATGCCACAGAAGAATGAGACTAGGGATGACCTAAATTCCTGTCTAGTTTCCGACCCTAATGGGAGAATATTTGGAGGGAAATCTCGGAGGTAGGTATGGGAATTCCTGAATTTTAAAATTTCCCGGTCAAGGATGGGGCTGGGATGATATTGTTATCCCCATTCTTGAACCCGGCCCGATAAATAATATATTTATTTTAAAGTAATGTATAATATAAAATAATATAACCATGTGTGATTATAATATAATAAATAACTATATGGTAAAATATTTATTTTGTTTTGTCATGTTGAGATTATTTTGATTGGTTGATTTAAATTTTATAATTTAATTGAATGTAATTGAGTGGAATGATAATTTAAGGTGAAATGGAAGTGTTATATGTAAGATAATATTTTATTAAAACCAGAAATTCGTAGCTGGGTTTGGAAGGTAGCCCTAAGACAAGGATGGGGGATTCTCCGAAAATTCTTACCAGGGACGTAGACGGGGACGGGGATGGTTGCCATCCCCAGCCTCAAACCAGCTAGTTGCCATTCCTTTGAGGCACATGCATCGTTACCATCCCTAGCTATGAGCAGTCTTGGAGACCATATGAAATCAATTTAGTTAAATAAAGAAGAGCATATGGAAAAAATAGACTTAATATAAAATCGGAACAATAGGATAAATTGAAGGCCTTTTTTTTGTTAATTAATTTGCATAGAACTGTTTTTTTTTTTTTCTCTACAGTTTTCTATTCTACAAGTTTGAAGATACAGAGAATGACGAATAACATTTCAAGTTTTCTCTTCTTTCATGATTCAAGTATGTTTATTTCCATGAAATATGACAAAAAGTACAGCCCCCCAGATTTCCGCCGCCAAAAGAAATGTCTCTATCCATGGGAAGAGTTTGATGCGCACACGATAGGTTTCTTTTGATGACATTTCACAGAAAAGGAAAGCAGCGGAATTTCTTGTTCGTCTTATCTAGACATAAATGGTAAGATGTTAATTGTCCTCTACAAGAAGAGTCAAACATGCTGCTTATACGCGTTGGCTTGCCCTTGTTGTTATGAGTCGACATCCTGGATGAGAAAGTTTCTGGTGTCTTGAGAGTTTGGGTATGATTTTGTGTGTGTCTCCATGAGGGTTTGAACATAAAATTACTGGTCTGCAAATAAAGACCATTTTCAACTAAGCTAGACACGTTAACGCTTTTGTGTTTGTTCTCTATTACCTTACGCTTGTGCATTCATATGTTTTGGGCATCGTTACATTCCTACGCGTATGACATAAGTTTTCCTGAAGCAATTTCACGTTAAGGTGGATGTTTCACGCAACGATTCAAGTTTCTGTAAGTACGACTAGGACTGAACATAAGAATCTTCATGTATATCAAATATTATATACCCGAAACTACTTAGGCAGTTATTTTCTGAATTATGAATTGATTAACCCTTGCGTTCTGGATCTTCAACCCATTTACTATTCTACAGAGGGACTAAAGTAAGTATAAATAATTGAAGTAAATGAGTGTCGGCGCGCGATGCATGTTTTTTTGTTGACTAAAACCAGATGATCAAATAATGTTATGTTTTTCAAATTCTTAAAATATCCCTATTACTTTTTTTATTGTCTAATTTGTTGTGCTGGCTTTGTTTAACAGATTATTTTTTGCAAATCTTGGTAACTTAATTTACATAAAAATATAGGTACATTATTCTTTAAAAAAAAATACATGTACATTTACTCATACAATCCTTTTTTTTTTTTTTGTTGGAATTTACCTATACAATCTAAGTAAATTAGTATACTTAAATTTTTTTGAAATTCGTAGGATGGACGGGTCTGTCTCTTCCTAAGAAAAAAAAAAAAAAATCAAACTATACGTAAATGATTTACCTATACAATTTAGGTAACTTAGTGTGAATGTAGGTAAATTTGTCAAACCTATGGGTACACTAATTAAACTAGTCTAAACAATTACGAAAAATATATTGCTTTGTTGATGTGGTAAATTTACAAAGTTGCTATTGTTTTTTTGGGGTCAGAAAACTGATCAAACCAAAAAACAAATTGAAGATGTTTTCATCGCTGATAAAACTGAATGCCCATTATTAGGGATTAAGGAATAGCTAAAATGTAAGGGATTTCAAAGGCACGTGTTGTAAAACATTTATAATACATATTTGATCATTCCTGGCATTGAATTCAAACTTTGGGATGAATGACTTATCTTCTTGGGAATTCCTGTGGAGCCTATAAATACCGCTGCACATTGTTGGACAAAAGCACTAATTAGCTCCTCCTCCTATAAACTTCCTTGAGCTTTGTTCCCCATCATCCTCCTATATATCTCCTTATACTCCTCTTCTGCTTCTACTTTCTAATTAGCGAAGGGCTTTTACAGTTTTATACTTAAGAGTCTATTTGTTAATCACGTACATTGTTTTGATCCAAAAAAAAAGAAAAAAAAAAGAAAAATGGTGGCCGTAACCAGAGCAGATGAGAGGCTGGGAAGTGGTGCCAAACTCAGTATCCCAACCATTGATCTTAAGGGCATCGATAGCAACTCAGTTTTACGAACTGAAGTTGTCGAGAAAATTCGAGATGCATGTGAGAATTGGGGTTTCTTTCAAGTTCAAAACGGAATTCCTGTTGAAGTTTTGGAGAGGATGGTGGATGGGATACGTGAGTTCCATGAGAAGGAGAATGAGCTTAAGAAACAGTTGTGTTCAAACTCAAAGGATTCTGGGAACAAGGAGCAGTATATGTCCAACAATCGCTTTTTCAAATCTTCACAAGGAAACTCGAGGGATTCGTTTGTGTGCTATATGGCTCCTGATCCAACCAAACCAGCAGACGAATTACCCTTAGCGTGCAGGTATGCATGGCACTATATATGTAACTTATAATACACTCTAGTCTAACCATGCATTCAGGGTTGGAGAAATTTTCTTTTCTTTGTGGTGGTAACATGGAAACCTGAATGAATGAGGACTTTATACCTGGTACAATATTAATAATATATATATACATCACAAGACGGGTTTTGCATTTGTACGTCAAAAAATTTACGTTTGGCACCCCATATTGTTTAGAGATGGACATGTAATCCGTGATTCTGATTTACATAGTCTACCCAATCTCTACATGCAAAATAATAGATGTCTTGTGAAAATAATTTCCTTATAATACATAACTTCAAGGAAGTTGATATCCTCTTTTATACATAAACTAAAATCTGTACATGACTCCCCTTGCATGGTTAGTTTATAATTTGCACCTTCTAGTGTTTTACCATTACTTTCATCATTTGGTAAATGAAATTAATTAGTGAACTTGATGACTTCGAGTTGCAGAGATATAGTGAATGAGTACTCAAAGCTAGTGAAGGATTTGGGATTTACTTTGTTTGAGTTGCTTTCCGAGGCTCTTGGGCTTAAGCCAAACCAACTTAAGGACGCGTACATGGATTCTGTTGAAGGGCTTTCTATTATGGGTCACTACTATCCACCATGTCCTGAAACAAAATTGACTATGGGCACCGGCAAGCACACTGATGGCTGCTTCATCACCGTACTTTTACAAGATCAAATGGGTGGCCTCCAAGTTTTGTATGAGGATCAATGGATTGATGTTCGCCCCATCCGTGGAGCTCTTGTCGTCAACGTTGGAGACCTTCTGCAGGCAAGTTCATTATTACAATTAGATAGCCAAATTTTTTCATTGTATGAAATCTACGTACTAATACCAAACAATAACAAAGATTCTGTATGAATGAAGTTTTAATAAACTGATAATTATGTGTTGTTTTTGTGCAGCTCATCTCAAATGACAAGTTTATTAGTGTTAACCACAGAGTTATCGCGCAGAGTGTAGGCCCAAGAGTTTCTGTGCCAACCTTTTTCAGACCACATGCAGAAAATCCAAAAGCTTATGGACCAATCAAGGAGTTGTTATCAGAAGAAAATCCCCAAATCTATCGGGAAACTAATGTTAAAGATTATCTGAAGCACTATCTCTCAGAACTGGTAAAAGGGAACTCCGCATTAGATAATTTCAAGCTATGAAGGATTATAAAAGCGCTTTGCTTTTGGTTCTCGGTACCGTTGTTAGTTTCTCTGTCATCGTGGCTCTGTTGGCTGCAGGCTGTGCCTCTGGTCCTATGACTAGGATTTTTATTTTTCAGTGTCCTTTTGCTTTTTATGTTAGGCCCATTTGTTTGGTCGTCTTATTTGTGGTCTCAAATTCTGTCTGAGTCAGTTATTGTTATGACGTGTTGCTCTTCTAATAAAAGTACTTTTGGAAACAAAGAAAGATATATAGTATATAGTACAACTTTCTTCTGGTGTGTGATGACATCAGTTTTATAATAAACACCGATGCTAAAGTTCCTTATGTGTGCCAAAAAAGTGTTGACCCCAATGTCTAAACATGCAAGGCATCGGCAGTTTTAATAGTTCTGATGCTAAATTCGGTTTACAACATCATAATTTTAGACTACAATGATGCATTTTTTGATTTACAACGTCACAAAAATCAGTAATATTGATGCTACTTCTAGTTATAGGCATCAGTTGTCTTATGAGTGATGTTGTTTTAAATTTTAAACCTTAGTTGTTTGTACAAAATTAAGGTTGTTACGAACAATATCATGGTGTGTTGCCCATTACACATCAAAAAAACATATATAAATTTAAATATATCTAACACTACAATTTTTCCAACCCCACATATGACAACAAGTTTTGTGATTTATATATAACAACATTTTTCTTCATTTATCAACCTTGAAATTTGAGTACAAAAGAGAAATATAGTCTAACAAACCAAATAAATATAAATTAAAATTATATAGCCAAATTTCTTCATTCGTGATTATTAAAATTAGATAGCCAAATTTTTCATTGCATGAAATATTCTATCAATACCAAATAATTAAAAAGATTATATATATTAAGTTTTAATAAACCTATAACTATATGCGTTGTTTTTATGCAAGCTCATCTCAAAATGACAAGTTTATTAGTGTTAATAACCACAGAGTTCTAGCGCAGAGTATTGGCCCAAGAGTTTCTGTGCCAACCTTCTTTAGACCACATTTAGAAAATTCAAAAGTTTATGAACCAATCAAGGAGTTGTTATCGGAAGAAAATACTCAAATCTATCGAGAAACTAGTGTTAAAGATTATCTGAAGCACTTCCTCTCAGAACAGATAAATCCGCATTAGATATTTTCAAGCTATGAAGGGATAAAAGGGCTTAGCCTTGTCGCAGGTGCACTGAATTATTTCTCACTCTTTACTCTGTTCTCTATTTTCTTTCATCGTGGTCGTTGCTACCGTCAACTCTGTTGGCTGCTGGTTGTGCCTCTGACTAGGGCAAGGATTTTTTTAGCCTCCTTTTGTTTTCTATGTGGGGCCCATTTGTTTAGGCCTCTTATTTGTGGTTTGGTTTTGGTCGCGAGTTTGTGTGTTGGTCTTGGTCCTCCTCTTTTATTTTTGGGTATTTTATTATAGACTCATTTCATGTTAAAAATGTTGACAAAAATCCTTGTATTACGCTTATTCAATCGAGACCTAATTCGCATTTAATACTTTTTTTTCCATGACTATTTTGCTCTATATAATCCTTGATTTAAGACATTGTAATGGCTATATAAAAAAAAAACATAAAAACATACACACCAATTTGTAATACACATAATATAGATATAATTTACCTAAACAAAAGGTCAAAATGAAGAACACATTTATAAATGAAGAAAAAATGCACGAGTAGAAATATAAAATTAGGTTGCCTTAACAATAAGAAGATAAAAAAAAAAATGTATATGTAATATGCATAAAACTCACACATTGAATTCCCTTTTCTTAGGTAGACTACGACACTCGAATCTATTTTGTAGGTAGTTAACATAAGGATTCGGATCCTCTGCTATATGCTTTTCTCTACCATAATCTACTTGACTTTTATTCTTCACGTGCCACTTCATTAAAATTTAATCTAAGGGTATTAAACCGGACACATTGTCCTTAAAATAAAAACCCAATAAAAAAATGAAAAAAAGGCCCTAATTGGAGTAACAGAAAACTTAATGTCCTCTAGCATTTCTTCTTCGTTTCTTTTCCCCTCCTTTCTCTGCACTTCTCCCCCCAAAATCTATCGATCTCTTATCTTCTCTCTATTAGGGGCAGACAGCGCAGAGAAAGGAAGAAGAAGAAAACAAAACAAAAAGAAGAATTGCTAGAAGACGGTAAGTTTTCTGTCAGTCCAATTAGGGCATTTGTTTTCATTTTTAATTATGAGTAAATTTAGTCTTTATTTTAAGGATGATGTCCCAAGATTAAAGTAATTGGATTAAATTTTAATGAGGTGGCGTGTACTAGATAAAAGTCAAGCAGATCATGATAAAGAAAGTCATGGGTATGAAGTTCTCTCCACTACTACAAAAAACACTTTGCGCGACGAATGATTTTTGGTCGCGCAAAGGAAAATTTCGTCGCGCAAAGTTTGAGCGACGAAATTTTGGTTGCGCAAGTTTTGTCCCGCAAAACTCATAAAGAAAGGGTTTGCGCGACGGCGAAAATTCTTCGTCGCACAAAGCCATTTTGCACGACGAAGGATAACAACTTGCGCGAAATGATTTTTGGTCGCGCAAAGGAAAATTTCGTCGCGCAAAGTTTGAGCGACGAAATTTTGGTCGCGCAAGTTCTGTCGCGCAAAACTCATAAAGAAAGGGTTTGCGCGACGGCGAAAATTCTTCATCGCACAAAGCCATTTTGCACGACGAAGGATAACAACTTGCGCGACGAATCATGACGACTTTGCGCGACGAAAATAACAACTTTGCGCGACGAATCCTGAAAACTTTGCGCGACAGACAATAACAACTTTGCGCGACGAATATTAATTACTTTACGGGACGAATATTATATACTTTGCGCGACGAATAATATCTCCTTTGTGCGACGAAAGTTAATGTCGCGCAACTGTACTTTGCGCGACGAATGTTAACGTCGCGCAAAGGTTTGCGCGACGACATATTCATTTCTTTTAATTTTTGTTTTTTGAAAATTTTAAACTAAAATAAACTAATTTAATAGTTTGCGCAATGAAATATTTTGTCGCGCAAGGTTTTTGACATTTTTTTAATTATTATTTCTCTTATATCAATTTCATTATATTAATTTTTTTAAATTTAATTTAATTGTATGATTTTATTTTTCTTAATTATGCAATGAAATATTTTGTCGCGCAAGGTTTTTGACATTTTTTTTTTATTATTTCTCTTATATCAATTTCATTATATTAATTTTTTTAAATTTAATTTAATTGTATGATTTTATTTTTCTTAATTACTTTAATTTAAATTGACATATTCAAAATAAAATTACATAAGAAAAATAGTGGTCAAATTATCCAATATACATAATATTCAAAATGTACACTTAAATTAACAAAGTACAATAATAAAATCTACAAGCCTCTTATATCAAATCCTCAACTTTAGCCATCAAAGCCTCAACAATTCCCTACAAAAAAAAAAAACAAATATTGTCAAATAACAAAACAATAACATAAAATAATGACAAATAATTGGCATAAACTCAAAACTAACTCCAAAAACACATATTAATGAAAAAAATTTAAAATTTACAGAGAAGTGAGTGTGAGAGAATTAGAGAAGATAGTGAGAGAGAGATGAGAGAGTGAGTGAGAGTGAGAGATGATGAAAAGAGAGATGAGAGAGTGAGTGAGAGAGAGAGAGAGAGAGA